TACACTTGCCAATGATCTATTAGTAAAGTTAAAAAATAAGTATGTACATACAAGGTCTGTCCAGAATGTATCCAGCCATGTGCTATGAAAAATAGACATTTATTGAAGAAGATACAAGATACAAGAAACATTGTACACAGGACAATGAGCCCCAGTCCCATTCAAAGTAAGCACCTTGGGACCTCACACAGTTCTCCCAACTGCCATCAGCTGCCTTGTCATATTTTCCTGAATCTCATTGATGGTCTAAAATTTCTTCCCTTTCAAAGGTGATTTTAGTTTTGGGAAAAGCCAGTGAAGTCGCAGGGTACCAAACCTGGACTGCAGTGGGGGCTGAGTCACCAGGGTGATTTGACAATTTGTAAAAAACTTTTCACAAGACTTGACACATGAGCAGGTGCATTGTTGTGATGAAGCTGCTAATCACCAGTTGCCCATAGCTGTGGCCTTCTGAATTGACCGAATAATTTCCATGGAGAAATGTTCAAACTTAATGCAAAATGTGATGCAGATTCATTGTTCTATTCGCTCAGTCATTTTGAATGCAACGGCCACACAGTACGCATGCTCACTCAATGGCACCTACCACCCCCCTCCCGCTACTGACTAGTACAGTGAATTCATCATTGTTCACACATGTACATTCCAGTCCACTCTCCTTGGCTGCCAGGTTACATTGATGTTGTGCAAATGGTTCTTGTTATAGTAACAATGGCTGGACTTTTTCCAGACAGATCTCATATACTATATATACACATAAACAGAAAGAGTAGGAGAGATGGAGAATGGGAATGGGAAAAAAATTTCATTACGCATTAAATGGCAGCAGTAATTTTTATTTTCCTTATGCTCATTTAAAGTTTCATAGACATCTCAAATGATAAAAATAACAATAAAGGGGACGTTTAAAAAGTTTTCCAATGACCATCACCTCAAGGTAGAGTCCAATCTCTCAGCCAGAGGCCCTGGCCCAGCGGCCCCCGCCACCTCTGCCACCCCCTCCTCCAGGCTTACCCTGTAGCCACGCATCATTCCTGGTACTTCCCTACCTGGACCCACCAGCAGCTCTCTGCTATTCCATCTGCCCAGAACACCCTCCGCCAGCACCCCCACATCGTTTCTTGCCTGATTGCTCTCTCCTGGGTCACCTCCCTCAGGAAGCCATCCCCAGCCACCCAAGCAGAACTCACTGTTTCCTGCTCTCACCCTGCTTATGTGTGCACTATTTTTGTACCTCAAATACCACTGCACTTATGTTTACACTTCTCTGTTATGAGTCATTTGAGGATTAGGTTCTTAATCATCCTTGTTTACTCAGCACTTGGTAAAGTCCTGGATGAATGTTTATGGAGTGAATGAGTGAATGAATAAATGAATCCCTCTACTGAGCTCTAGGCTCATATACCTGTGGGACATCTGTAGTCAAGCACCCCTTAGGTCTCTAAACGTAGCGTCCCCCCCCCCGCTGAGCCCAGCATCTCCTTTCTGGGGGACCTCGACAACCCTCCCCCCTTCCCATTAGCAACCCACCCTCTTGTGCACTCCTCTTCTCTGTGACTGGAGCCTCCAGCCCTCCGGGAACTGGTGCCAGACTGTGGGCATCTCTCTTTTCTCCCATAAAAACTTGCCGGGCTTCTCAATCCCATCGTATGAATGGCTCTTGAGTTGTTTTGCCTTCTTTCCCTACACATGCTGCTGACTCCTCTCCATCGTGCTCACTCTCACCTGGAAATCCGCTGCAGCCTCATCATCCCGACCCCAGTAAAAACTCCTTGATGGCTTCTATTTTCTTCAGGGTAAATTCAAACTCCTTACCAAGGCTTGCCAGAGAGCCTGCCCCTGAGCCCAGCACTGCCTGTCTCTCCAGCTTTGTCTCTCCTCCATCCCACCCCTTTGTTCTTTTCAGGAGCAACCCGGTGAGTCCTTTTCTGCATCTGTGCCTGTTGCGTGCCGTGTGCCTTGTCTGGAAACCCTTTTCTGACCCTGCTGCCCCCCATAACTCATTCATCAAGTCTTAATTTAAAAGGCACTTCCTCTCGGGAGCCTTCCCCTCATTCCTCAAGTCCCAATTAAGCCCCTCTGGTATAAACTTCCATAGCTCCCTGCGCTTCCACTGCTGTATTTAATTATTTTCTCTCTCAACAGACTGTAAGTTGAATGGGGACAGAAACCAAGACCATTTGTTTATGAACATTCCTCCCATGCCCAGCAAATTCAATGGTTAGCATTTGATAAGCAAATAGATGAATGAATGTTTGCATTTGCTAGTGCAGATGCTGATTCTAACTTTGAGACCAGACAAGACATATAGTTCTTCGTTTTCTGAAGGTCAGGAAGAGGGGAGCAGCACTGCAGTGGAGAGTCACCCTCTGCCCGTAACCAGTCAGCGGGCTGACCCACAGTGGGCTTGGAGGGAAGGCAGCTGGGTTAGGCCTTTCCAGGGGTGCTTTTCCTCTGATTGCCTTTCCAAGTATTCACGACCAACTTCCCCATCAGTCATGAGTTTTTCCAAGCCTTACAGGAATGTACCCCAGAGAGTAAAGGAAGTTCTCTGTATTTTTCTAAATGCTGCCTTCAAAATAATTTCAGAGTTCCTGAGTGAAAGATCCCAGGACTAAAACTTTGAATGGTGAAGATGCCGCTGGCTGAGGCTCAGGATAGCTGTCTACTGCCCCCAACCCAAGTCCGGGCAGAAGAAAGAACAGTGGCATTTGTGTCTGGCATGTACTAATGCCGAGTTGGGGTTTCAAAGCCTCCAGATGGCTGAGTCAAGTTCAGAGGAATCTAGGACTCCCAAGGGGGTTGGAGGGTACCTCAGTAAACTGGGTTGGTGTGATGCATTGGAGGCTTGATCAGCAAATATTTACTGCCTTCTCCTTTCTTCCGCCCCCTCAGGACTGCGTGTACTTCTTGACTCACTGATTTCGGACTTGACCACATGCTGTGTGTTAGTCCCTGGAATGTGAGCGGACGTGTTATGACCAGACGCTTTACATGGTGCTTCTCTCTTATGCTCCGTTCATCCACAATGAGAAGAATATGCTTCAGGTCACCACTGTTTCTTCAGACTGGTCCCCTGAATACAAGTTGTGGATATGTTTAGTTTGAGATGACTATTAGATATCTAAGCAGAGATGTGTATGATTTGGGGGCCGGGGGATTCTGGGCTGGAAAAGTCATCAGCTATGTGACATTTAATGCTTTGAGACAGACGGACTCACCATGGTGTGGGTATGGATGGAAAAGAAGTCCACTGAGGGAGTCTTGGTTTCCTTCAATATTTAGAGGTCAGAGAGATGAGATGGAAGCAGCAAAGAATTAGCGGTGGAGCAGCTAGAAAGGCAGGCAGACAACCAGGCCAGGGAAGGGTCCTGGGAGCCAAGAGGAGGGCGGGCTTGGAGCTGGAGACAGTGATCAGATGTGTCCAAAGCTGATAAACAGTGAGATGACATGGAGAGTTGACCAGTGGAGTTTAGTGACAGGGATGTCATCGGTGTCCTTGATAAAAATATATTCTGTGGAGTCAGGAGGGCAAAAACATCAACAGAAGAGATTCAGGAGAAAATAATAGCAGAGACATTTGCAAGTATAGGCAATTGTTACCAAAGCTTTGCTCAAGAATGTAGGTGAGAAATGGTCCTGTCACCCATGAGGAAAGTGGCATCAAGAGAGGTTTTTAATTTTAGTTTAGTTTTTAAAAAGTAATGTGATAAAAACAATTAGTTTGAACGCTGATTGGGATGATCCACGAGAAAGGAGAAACTGATGATGAGGGGCGATGACAGCCGGCTCACCCATCGTGACGAGGAGGAAGCTGGGCATACAGCTCACATGCAGGGAGGCAGGCAGACAAAGTGGTGCAAGCCTGCAGACATTCTCTCCCAGTTGCAATGACTTTCTCAATGAAACCGGAAGCCAGGTCATCAACAAAAGGTCAGCACATGGGAGGTGAAGAAGAGAGTATGACAGAGCCGTCCAGGAGAGTCCGAGATTGAATGGACTAAGGATGTGTAGCTTGAATGCTAGCCAGCAGTGACTCTTTTACCTACTATCTAATAAAGCCTCACACCCACCCTATGAAGTAAGCCCCATTATTTGCCTCATTTACAGATGAGGAAATTAAAGCACAGAGTAATCAAGAAACTTATCCAAAATCACACAGTTAGAAAGTGGGGGAGTCAAGATATGAACACAGGCACTCTGGCTCTGGGCCCAAATACTTAATCACTAAGTTAGGGAGAGTTGGTTAAACATATGAAAGCCTGTCATGGAACTGAACTAAATAGAATAAAGGCTGATTTAACATTTGTGGTGCAACCGCTGTCTGTTGAGCCCTGTACTAGATGCCTTCACAACGCTGTGCAGTCATGGTTCTTGTCAAACCCATTTTACTGCTGAGGACATTGAAGCCCAGAGAGATCCAGTTGTTTGTTAAAAGCTGCAGAGCTAGGAAGTGGAAGAACTGAGTTTTGACCCCATGTGGTCTGATTTTCAAACCCACACTCTGTACATAATGTCAAAGAACCATTATAACATGTGAGGGGGCTCCCTACATAAAGCTAACTTATTAACTAAATTCATCAGAACCTTCCCTGCATCAGGCTGGGGTCACAAGGAACTTTTATCCTGAACAAGTAGAGAACTTACCACGTGGCCCTTAGAGCAGGAAGCATTTAAAGACAGGTAACTTTGGGAGAAAGCTGATTGTCTGACTGACCTTTTTTGGAAGCCTGATCCATTTGGTGAGGAAGAGGGCTTAGAAGTATATGGCATGAGTCTCAGAATTTCCTTTTTCTTTTAATCAAAGCTATAACCTTATATTATAAGAGCACTTGTTCTACTTATGCAAGCATTTCCGAAAACATTTTCTTAAGAAAGAGTGTTCATAATGTATCATCTACCCTGAACAGCCACCACTTCCTCAAATGCAAGGAAGCAGACAGTTAAAAAAAAAAAAAAAAAAAAAAAAGCCAAGAAGCCAAGAGGCAGCCGTTGTTTATCATGACCTCTCCTCAGTGAGGCCTGAGATTCTTTCAAACGGGAGCTTTGCTTCCCATGACGCAGAGCGAAGTGTCAACTGGGATATTTCTAGTAAAACTGAAAGCAAGAGGAGCAGGGTGCATAATTCACGAGGGACCAGCCCCTAGGAACTGTGGGTGGGGTTTGGTGGGGGTTTGGATGCCATCCTCAAGTCACAGATGATTGGACCTTTCATCTGAGAGAAAGGAAGACACACGCTGGCGAATCAACCTCAAAGTCAAGATTGTCTGTGAAGCCATCATAGAGGGAAAACCTGCACACACCAGCCAGAGGGAAAGACCTAAAAGGCAAGAAGGGCGCGAACTGAGACAGACTCGTCACTGCGGCAACTACTCATCAGAACCAGAAGCAAAATGTCGCTGAAGTTGCCAAGAAACTGGGACTTCAACCTGAAAGGAGAGGCTGGGAAAATAGGTACAGTCGATGTCTCTTTGCTGACTTTGTGGTTCTTCTACTTGAGCACCCACCATTTGCATGCTGGTCTTCAGGGCGCATAGTTTACCTAAAAAAGGACCTTGGCAAATCTGGGTTTGGGGGAAAATTTGCATTCAAGTTGATAAGTAGGCTTAAAGTTCCCAAATGCTGGGAGCGGGTTCTTTTTTGTTTGGAGGTGGTGGTGGAATGGAGCTCCCCGGACTGTGGGATCTGAGTTACTTCGGATGGCTTAAGGCTACAGATTACACACAAAACTGTGAGTTTTTCTCCATCATGGAAGGATCATTTCCCTCCTGTATGGACACTCATCTATATTTTGAGTGGATTTTGATAGGAGCACAGAGAGTGGTCCTTTGAAGTGTTTGATCTGTGATTAAACTCAAGGTATCCTGCTTTGCGAGCCCGTCGGGCCTCCAGGCCCTCTCTGAGGACTTGGGTGTGAGGTGGGGTTGTTATTTGCAACAAAAGTAAGCAATACAGACAAGATAGGAATATGGAGACATTTGAAGGCATAATAAAGACAATTTTAGTTAAAGAGATAGAATGGAAGGGAATTCTTAGAGGATTTGTAAAAGAAATGCATTTTAGGTCATTATTTTAAGGGATGCTGGCATGTTTTCTGAATTCTCTGGCCTTTAATCCATACTTCTTCTTATTAATAATGATAGTGACATGTTGATTTTAATCTGTTATATAGTCATTATGAGTTTCTTTATATGGGTTTCTTTTGGTATTAAACTGTTCACAGTAACTTATGGTAGAGCAATTGGGCCAAAAGTGATTGCCTGTGTTTTATGCTTCTACCCATACGGTGAGATAACTTCCTTGGTATTAGACAAGTGTTAGGTGTTTTGAATGGCTTGGAAAAGTTTTCCTTGGAGCAAGGTTTAGACTTGGGTTTCTAATGGTGGTTAATGTGTTGCTAAAATAAATGATCTATTGTAAAGTCACATAAATGGGAAGTTAATATGTCGGTCTGAGAAAGGATTTAAAAGAAAATTGAGAGTAGTCAGAGAAACCATTTATCTTGATAACCAGGGAAGATTAGCAGTGCTATTCAAGCTAGGAATCATGGCGTACTGAGGTCAGTTCAGAGAGCGGACAGTGCGCATTTCTTTTACACAAGCAAGAGATTCTTCTCCCATCCACCGCTGACATCAATGTATCTGGCTAGTTTACATTCTATTGTATGTTGTAAAAATTTGTTTTTAGAAGTAAAACTTCTATGGTTCTATTCCTTTGAAAGTGTCCTGCTTCTATTTGCATGGGATCACTCTACTTTCTCACCATCTGTGTTTGAAAGGCCTTGCTTGCCTTCTACTTAAAAATGGGAAATGTGAGAACATTAATGATTAAATGATTAATTGATTAAAAGGTTAAATGATTTTTTTCCAGGGATATAGGAAATTACCACATTAGTGCTCAGGTCTGCATATTCTCAGACCTGGGATTAGGTTGGGCAGATTTCATGCATTCTACCAGAGATTCCTAAATCATGGTCCCATGGATAGTCTGTATCACAGTCACCTAAAATGCTGCTCAAAATGCAGACTCCTGGGCACCATCCTGACTTGTGAAATCAGAATCTCTGGAGGGAGGCCCAAGCATCTGCAGTTTAACAAGCACTCACCCCTCCATCCCACTGGATGCAGATGTCCTGCTGCAGAATCTATGGGCTAAGTTAGTGGGATCGGAGAGTTACCACTTATCTAGAATAGAGCATGGTACCTGGTTTTCATGGGCCCACAATAAATGTTTGTTGACTGAATCAATGACTGATTACCAGCAGATGATATCATTTAGTACTTTTTAGTAAAATATAATTATAGCCCTGACCAGTGTAGCTCAGTTGGTTGGGTATAGTCCCACAAAGATCACCAGTTTGACTCCTGGTCAGGGCACAGGTTTGGGTTGTGGGTTCTGTTCTTGTTGGTACGTGTAAGAGAGGCAACTGATAAATGTTTCTCCCTCTCTTTAGCTCTCCCTTCCCTTCTTTCTAAAAAAATAAATAAATATAATCTTAAAAAAGTAATTACATCATGAAATGTAGAGGAGGAGTTGTCATTTTCCTTGCCATTTATAAGTTTGTCATCCAGAGAGATTGGACGGTAGTTAGAATACCTTTCGTGAGCATCACATCAATGAGAATTCAGATTATAAACTGAGTCTCCCAAGGGGAGAGTCACTGATTCAGCCATAGGACATCTGGTCCCCTCTCCAGAACCCTGTGTCCATATGTGAACTGGCCTAACAATACATATGTCAGAGAAGCTCACATCTATTAAGAAAATGTGTGGAACTGGGAGTCATGTCAGAGAAGTCAGTGACCTATGGTTTTTCCAGCCTGGGCTAGTGAGGAGTAAATCAGGGTTTCTCAGCCTGGGCACTATGGATATTTTGGGCTGGGATAATTCTTTGTGATGGGAGCTAACCTGTGTATTATAGCACATTAGCAGCATTGTTTGCCTCTACACGCTAAATGATAATACCACCCCCCTAACACCTCCAGTTGTGGCAAATAAAAATGTCTCCAGACATTGCCAGACATCTGGGAAGAGACATTTTCCCTACTTGAGAACCACTGGAGTAGATGATCACCAAAAGGATGTGACTTTAAGGTCACTTGGGACTGGGACCCAAACACTACCTCATGATTCACTGTCTAGGTCAATTTTCAAGAGGCTTTTAGTAAGTTAGAACTTCAGAGGGATGGGTAGTAGCATAAGGAAGAAGCAGATTCAGCACTTACTTAGGAAAATAGCAAGAAACTGACCCATTATGTGGCCCAGATGGGGCCCCAGCATTTTTTTTTTTTCGTGACAGCCTGAGCTTCTAGTTTCCCCTAAATCTTGTGAGTGCTGAACCAGGGCTGACATGAAAGTGAAAGTCTCTGAGAGTGGCAGAGGGACTCTCCACTGGACTTCCACCTCAGAGAGCTGGAGAGGGCCCTGTGAAATGGCAGCGCTCCCGGGAGACTGCCACCATGGGCCTGGCCAGGTGGGAGCGGCGAGGGGGAGAAACTGACCCTGGCCACCCTGCATGTGACTTATTGATCCTGGTGGCGTTGGAAGAAAGGGAAATGCAGAGCCAACAGACTGGACTTGAGGTGGCATGAAGAGTACACTTTTCTTCTTTTGATGCTTTATCATCCATCTTAGTCCAATGACTAAAATAGTGACAGCCTTCCACTGCTTTCCCACGCTGGTACTCATATCTTTGACACTTTCATATATTTGTCTTTCTAACTCCATTGGAAGCCCTGGAGGGCAGGTTCCAGGATGTAGCATCCTTTCTCACACTGTCTGGGGTTCTGACACTCAGCGCTTTGCATGTAGACGCTCTATTGAGAGGACATTGACCATGCAGGAAAAGCCCCCTTCTGCCCTGTGGTTTGGGAGTGTTTAATTGGAAGATTGCTGGGTGAATTTCAGGACCACACACGTTGTATCCAGTCACATGCACATTTCTTTTTTTCTCAGTCCCCCCAAGCCAAAGGACAGGAAAACAGTCTTTAGGGAGCATATGACTCTGAGATACTTAATGAAGGTGATATGGAAGGGTGGGTGTTTCAACTTTTTTTTCCTCTGAAGTTTAATGTTGAAAAAAATATTCAGAAACAAAAAAATCATAACTCTAGTCTTTCAAATGGTAAAGTGTATAATGACAGTAGTAGAGGGTTTTTTTTTTCCACTTTATTTTTTTTTTCATTTGATAAATCATGATTTGTCCCATACGGGGTCTAGTTCTTTCCCTTAGAAAATCAGAGTAAAGAGAATGAAAACATTTGTACTTAAGACCTTCATAACTAGACCAATGTATTAAAACCATAAAACTTTATGCAACATAGTTTATTATCTTGTTAAAAAGAAGCTGTATTTGAATGTGTGGTTTTAGGTAGATAAATGACATAGATACAAAGAGATAGAATTAAATATATAAAGAAGTTCTATAAATCAATACAAATGATAAAAAATTAACAGACAACATGAATGGATATTTTGCAGAATAGGAATAATATTGTTATTAAATATGGAAATATTTGTAATTACAATAACCAGGAAATGAAATTAAAAGCACAATATACTGGTTGTTTCCCACAAATTGGCTAAAATGAAAAAGTCTGACAACACCAGGGTTATTCAAAATGTGGAGCAAAAGGAACTCTCATACAACTGAAGATACGGCCACTTTCGAAACAATTGGGCATTGCTTAGTGAAATTGATGCACAAACCTTATGAAGTTAGCATATCACTCCGGAACCTGTCCCCTGGAGAAACTTGTACATATGAACCAAAACAGGTATATGAAGTTCCACAGTAGTGTTGCTGTAATAACAGAAGACAGAAAACAACCTAGATGTCCATCAATAGTAGAAAGGAAAAATAAACTCTAGTATTTTCATAACATGGAATACTACATGAGAGCAAAAAGTAATCAGTTATTAATTATACATTCAAGTGAGATTGAATTGCAAAAACTTAATATTGGGGAGAAAAGGGAGGTCACAAAAGAGCAGAATGAGATTCAGTTATATTAAAGTTAAAAGTCACATGTGTATGGGAAAACTATAAAGAAAAATGAGTTGACTAATATATAATTCAGGATGGTTGTTTCTTCTGGAGTGGAAAGGAAGGGAAATGCATTTGGGAAGCTTTGAAGGTGCCTAACCTCAGTAATAGGTACGTGATAATTTCTTTTATTATTGCATGTGAAATGGAAAAAGATATGAACATGTAAATAAACCCTCAGAAATCTGCAGGGATGCACACAGTGTGTTATTAGTACTTAATTATGAGAGAAGGATTTATATCTCACACAGTGTGGTGAGATATATCCACACACATAGGTATTATTATTTTGTAAGTATTTTGCATGTTTTCTATAATGAACAAGTATTGTGTTGTTAAAAATACTCAAAGCTAAAACAAATTCCAAAGTGCTTGGCCAGGCATGGTGCAGGTCTCATAGGCGGCACATG